GATCTTAGTTGGTTTCAGTGACCACATAAAGGGCTACAAATTATATGATCCTGACCAAAGGAAAATAAAAATAAGCAGTGATGTAGTCATTCAAGAAACCACCAAAAAATCTAAACAGACAGCATTTGTGATCAAAATGCCACAAGCAAGATCAATCAAACCTAAGCAGTTTGAGGATTATGTTTATTATGCTTGTTTGCAAGAATTCAACTCTAATGATGATCAGTCACTGTGAATGATGCAATGTCAAGGTGAGATGCTGAGTTATGGAGACAAGCCATGTCTGAAGAAGTTCAGTGTTTTGAAGATAATGATGCCTGGGAGTTGACAGATAGCTTTCCTGATTCATCAACAGTTGTTCCTTGCAAGTGGGTCTTCAAGCGGAAAGTTCTTGAAAGTGGTGAAGTGAAATATGGCGCTCGTTTAGTGGCAAAAGGTTGTGTTCAAAGAGCTGGTCTGAACTATGATGTTTTCTCACCAGTTGTGAGGCATTCTAATTTGAGACTGCTGATTGCATTAGCAGTAAAGTTTTGTCTGAAAATAACCCATCTTGATGTAAAGACTGTCTTTTCAAACAGTCCACTTGATCAACCTGTGTACATGAAGCAACCAGAAGGTTTCATAGTTAAAAACCAGAAAAACAAAGTATACAGATCAAAAAAAGCTGTCTATGGGTTGAAACAATTGTCCAGAGCATGTAATGCTAGAGTTACTGGAGTTTTGTCAGAATTAGGCTATACCAAGTCAAAACATGAGTCATGTTTGTTTTTGAAAAAGGACACAACATCATTAATTTTCATTACTCTCTATGTAGACGATTTTGTCGTTTTTTGGAATAATAATGAATGTTTGAATTTTTTGAAGTCAAAATTGAGTGAAAAATTTGACATAAAGGACCTAGAAATTGTTTGGGGGTCAATATAACTAGAGATTATGAAAAACATGTTATTTACCTAGATCAAGAAAGTTATATAGATCAAGTTTTGATTAATTTTGGTATGGAAAATTGCAAAACTGTGAATACTCCTATGGAGGCTAAGGTTGATGTTGAGAAGGTTGAAGATTCAAATTAAAATTTGAGTAATTTTACCATATCAAAATCTCATTGGAAGTTTAATGTACCTATCAGTGTTAACTAGGCCAGCCATAACATTCACAGTGAATTACTCCAGTCAGTATAACAATAATTATACAAGAGGGTTAGAAAACACAAAATCATCTCCATGTTTAATAATCGAAAGATTATTTAGGGGAACATGTTTCGGATAGTCATGTGTCCATCATCAGCCTTAATCCTTACAAACCAAAAGTCCAATAATATGATATAAGTTAATCATGAAAAATGTATGAAATAGAGAATTCACTCACGTGGGAACTCGCGTGGGAATGAAAAAAACACACATTATGAAAAAAACATTGAATAAAATTTTTGTGCAAATAAGCACCGGTTAAAGGCCAGGTTAATTTAGAAGAAGCCCTGTGCCCCTATGAGGACGTACATAATCACGATTTAATGGCAAAACCCGTTTTTGGAAAAACCGAAAAAACGGTGGAATCAAATAATTACTCAAAACAAACCTTCATCATCAGATGATAGAGGACAAGTGGCGTTTTTAGCAATCCGCAAAACGTAAGTTCTGCGATGACAGACACATATGACAGTGACAATGTCAACTGTCCGTAGATAAAGACTAGTGGACGACCAGACCGGAGCACCACTGGACCTAAACCAATGAGTAGATACATAGGTACATAAATTTGAATGAACATAAAGTGTAGTAGAGACCAAAGCAGGAAAAAGATTTCAAAACTGAAAGATGAAAATTATATTACTATAAGTTGATTAATGAAAAACCAGAGAATTGAAAGAATTTTTTTGGCAATCAAAATGAGTTTGTTCATTGAGTGAGATAACATAGAGTCCTTTAAGGATGAGTTAATTTCGAAAATTTCGAATAGGTTGAGGAGAGCACCTTTTTAGCAAATATGTAAAATTTCCAGGTTGTTATTGATATCAAAAGAATGTTGGTGGTTGAGGATATGATTTGCAAATGATATTCGGTGAAGCTGTCCAGTGCACAGTCCTCATCTTCTTTTACAAAACAAAGGGGGACATGAAAATAATTTGCGGGATTGATAATCAATTTTTGATTCCTGAAATAAACAAATCAAATCTCAGGAAAAAAGTGGCATGTTATAATTGTTTTATAAAAAATCAACTATGTTTCTTTCTAGGAATAAACTGAATCTGATTTCATCAAGAGGAGTCTTCTTTCAGTAGAGACAAGACTAAAGATAAATCTACCAAGTGTTGAAGAAATCTGAATGATGAATGAGTTGTTATTGAAATATTGAAAAAATTCCCAAGTAAAAGTAAGAAATTGAAACATAGGATATATATATATTGGTTTATTTCACACATTAAAATATGATTTATATGCTTTCATCATGTTCAGGGTCTTATTAGTTATCATAGATGGCTATAGAAAAATACAATCTATGAGTTACACACAACAGAATGTAGAGCTTTCCAAGTACACACAATGAAAAAAAATCAAGAAATTAGCAATCTTATAAAATAATGTCACACTGAAAGTGAAAGACATTGTAGATATATAAATTATATAATATCCCAGACAAACTAGTTAGTTTTAATGAATCTAGATAATTTGCAAATATCATAATGGATGATATAAGTACCATTGATATATTCCTCAAGTATCCAAAATTTAACCAATGAGGAACACCAGGAGAAAAATTACTTCGTAGTTCAATACTGGGACAGTATTGAAGCAAAAATTAAATACATCCTTGCCAAGGATCATGGTGAGTAATGTAGATAAATCGTAGATATCATCCATACTCAAAGTGCTCCAATATATCTAGAAATAGAATATAATAATATGAATATACATATATTGATGGTCAACCCAATGATGTTTCAACTTCTTTATTATTTATTGTGACTTTATAAGGTACTGCAGTCTGATGATGGCCGTTGTGCCAAAACTGTTTACTGTTTAATTCACTATTTTTTACATAAATTGTAGTGGACCTCCTTGGAGTATTTTTATTTTTATTTTTATTGAGAGTCATAAAGATGTTTACCTGATATAATTTGAGATGGTATAAACTGTTTTCTTTTTTCAAATTCACAAGAATAGACTATCTTGAATAGTAGCAGTAGGTAGGTAACTACTATACCACGAAACCCCGCAGGGGGGGAGCGTTCCTGGGAGGGGGCGCTGGGACTCAGCCAAATTGATTGATGCATGAATATTTTTCAATTACGATAATAATAATAATAATAATTTGAATAAACTGGGAAAAACCTTAGGAAGTTAACCTTGTAGTAAGGATAAAAAATAAATAAATGTACATAGGTCACTGAATATTTAACAATATCAAATTATCACAAGGGAAAATAATATTTCCATTTCATGCTAATAGTGCAGGCATGTTTTTTTCAGTGTAGGTCCAGGGTGATAAAATCAAGGATATAAGCCAATCTTTTTAAATAGAGAACTTGAAGAAAACTAGTGGTGCTTCAAAGAGAAGAAGGAACAAAAGTTAGAAGATGAGAAGTGTAAAATTTCCAAGATTACCATGAGGGGTAAATCTCCAGGAAAAATGTGTACACCAGACTTCCAATTAACATAGACTTCCAAAGACTTCCAAAGACATCCAAAGATTTCCAAATACCTTCCGAAGACTCCCAAAGACTTTCAAAAACTTTCAAAGACATCCAAAGACTTTCAAAGACATTCAAAGACTTCCAGAGACATCCTAAGACTATACCAAAGACTCCCAAAGACTTCCAAAGACATCCAAAGAATTCCAAAGACTTCCAACGGAGTGTACACCAGACTTCCAAGGAGATTCACCCCTCGGATTACCATGTTCTTTAGGAATACTACTACTGTTTTGGAACAGTTGAATATTATGATGAATGTCCATCAAGTAGTAGCAGTATGATGATTGAAACGGGAATGGATGTTCACTCTGCATTTATTATGGAAGAAGAACTATTATTCTAGATTTTTGGGGATTTTCTCTCCTTGTTTCTATAAAATAAAAATATTGATATTATTTCAATATACCTGTAGTAAGGACAAATCAGATGATTAGCCCCAAAATGTTACTGTGTTTTAAGAATTTTTTTATCAGAGAGCCTAAAAAAAAAATTCACTAGCTTGTCAGTGACAATTTGTATTGCAAAAGTTCGGAGAAGAGAAAGAAAGGTATATAGTAAAAATATCATATTTTCACTTGGCAAAAGACCAGACTTCTGCTACTACAGCATTTGAAACTGTAGGTACAAATGGTGTGAATATAAAAAGTAGAGTAAAAAGTATTATATCTGAAATCCACCAGGAGCCCATACCTGACTTGAATGCAAGAACTCCTGGAGATGGAACTGAGTCAGATGATTCATTGCTGGATGTATTAATTAAAGAATCATTTCCTTGTGATAAAGGCAATTTCAGTGGCCGAGAATTGAGCAACTGGATAAAAATGTTCATTGTTTGTAATGGCCCATCTCAACCAGATATAAATTTTCCAAAAGAGGAGTTTCTCTAATTTCTATTATTCACAGCAGTCATGCTGGGCAAATTATTCCAAAAAAATGGTTGTGTTACTCACCCAAAGAAAATAAAGCATATTGTGAAGCTTGTTGGTTATTCAATATAACTGATAGTTCATGGAAAGAAGGGACTTTAGACTGGAAAGGTTTGTCTCAAGGTGGCCTCTTAGTGATTTTGGCGGAGGGGGCCAAAATATGAGCTTATGCCAGTTATGCCACTGTGTGTGACCAATATACTGTCATGATATGTCTACCTACCTACAAACTACCTTCTGGACTGGGAGTATGTGGATGTTAATTTATATGAAAAATATTATTCAATAGCACATGGACTTTTGAAAATCTAATAAATACAGAAAATTTATATTTTGGTCAGTGAATTAGGTAGTCCCTGGAAACAATAATTACTACTTACATAATTAATCTCTTCCACATCACTATCATCACAATTGATAAATTCTTCATATTGAAAATCCTCCAAATTTTCCTAAAATACAGAATTTTCTGGGTACATCAATAAAATATATCAGAATTTATACCTATTATTACCTTCTTGTTCTTATCTAGAATCATCATCATTTTTTTAATATCCTTCTCGTCATCCATGATTATAGGATCTATGAATTCAAAATTTTCAGATTTTTTTTATTTTCACAATTATTCACAAAATCATCAATGATCAATGCAAATTGAAAAAAACACTGAAATAAATCGAAAATTTTGACATTAGGTTTGTTTTTGTTTACATTGGCAGTTGACGTCTATCAGATGACGTCTGACAGTTCACCTAGGCAATCCTTGGGCAATGACGGCTAAATATCTGGACTGTCTGACGAGTACTACATTCATTTCATTGGTACTACATGACTGTCCAATCACTCAGTTCAATGTATTCTCCACCAGAGGGGTTCACTTGCCGTCCTTTGCGGAGGAGAAGTCATTTGTATTCGGTTTTTTTTTTTTCTTCTTCTTCTTCTTCTTCCTTTCGATTTGTATGGCCTTAGCTACCTGGGCTATCTGGCCAAGTACACGCATCAATTTCAATCTTTTCTACTGGGGTCCACCGTGTGGCAGGTCTGGGGGAATCCCATGCCCCGTAGAGGTTCCTATAGGAATTAAACAGTTCTAATAGTTTTTCGCACTTCACCTCTACATGCACCACATGCAACAAGGGAGATGATACTGCAAAGCATTATCAATACTAGCTAAAGCAAACAAAAGCAACACATTAGCAGGCAACTACTTAGTCTTTCAAAGCGATGACCGAAGCTACTACTTATCACTTGAAATAAAATAATAACAAAAGAGTTTCTGTCTGTGCACTGTCAAAGTTTGTATCCAGAAGAGCTCAGAAACTGGTGTAACAATTGACACTTTTCAGCACTTATGTCTTCAAAGAGGATGTTGTGTCGTGAGAGGGGAAAGTGACTTGCCCTATTATTGCTCTTGGTTGTCAATCTATTCTGTAACACATTAATATTGAATTGATTGTTTGGGCAGCTGAAGAGTATATGGTCGAGGTCCTGAGGGAAACCACATTCACATAACGGAGAATCTTTAATTTTGATCCTATGCAGATGAGTGTTAGTGAGGCAGTGACCACTTCTCATACGGTTTAAAATAGTTATCTCGCTCCTTGTTAGGGCAGGGCATGCCTTGAACCAGGGCACTTTCAGGGGGGTGTTCACCGAAGGAGTGTAACTTCTTCCTTTGATTCCACTTAGCCCACGGTAGGTGTTGACCCACTTGTTCCAGATTTGCTCTTTCAATATCACTTGAATATCTTGGTACCAGGTAAATGCCCGCTGCTCCTGATGTAGCTTGCATCCTGATTTGGCCAATGAATCTGCTCTTTCGTTTCCGGGGATTCCAGTGTGGCTTGGGATCCACACTAAGTGCACTTGTTTACCTGAGGCCTCTATCTGCTCTATTTTTTCTCTGGCCTTCAGAGACTGTAAATCTCTTTTTGAAGAAATATCACGATTTGCTATTCTCTCAAGAGCGCTCTTTGAATCTGATAAAATAATCGAATGTAAAATACCCAGCTCTTGGATCTTCTCCAGGGCAACTTTTATCGCGAAAACTTCAACGGAACAGATTGAGAGTGACTTAGGAAGCTTTGCAGATACACTAAAGTCTGACGAATAAATTCCATATCCACAGTGCTATCTTCTATTTTAGAGCCATCCGTGAATATCATCGTCTCCGTAGGCCATTTTTCCCTCGACCTTATGTTGAATTCCATTTTATTGTCACCTTCCAAGATCATGGATCGGGATGGGAAATGTTTGGGTTTCTATTGGAAATAGGTAGCATGGGAGCAGGGGAAGATGAGAAAGCTGTGGACGATGAATCGTTAGAAATGAAAATGCTTCAATCAGAGGGGGAACTGTTGTTAATCTCCCAATGTTCCTCGTCATGTACACCGTGTAAAAATTGGTTACGAAGACACTTGCTGGATTATTGAAGGAGAACAGCTTCAGAAGAAACTTTCCCGCTAGCCAGAACCTTCTATTTTCCATTGGCATTTCTCCTGTTTCCGACAGTAGAACGATGGTAGGGGTGGATCTCATTGCTCCGAGCACTACCCGAAGAGCTTGAAACTGAATCCTATCTATTTTACCAAGCAGCTGCTTGTTACACATTCCATATAAAAAGCAACCGAAGTCGAGATGTGACCTAACCAAAGCTTTACCTATACATCGTGAGAAGAGTAAGAGGATGAGCTCCCCACCACGTTTTGCAGAGAGCTCTTAGCAGATTAATACTTTTATGTGCCCGGGAGATAATTTTATCTATGTGTGGTTTCCAAGACAGTGCAGTGTCAAATATAATTCCCAAGTACCTGACTTCCCTTTTCCATGGAATACGCTGACCTCCTACTACAAAATTCCGATTGTTCTGCCTAGAAAAGGAAATGGCTTCTGATTTCCCAGGTGACAAGGATAAATTGTTTTCGAATAGCCATTGTTCTATATTCATTAAAGTAACACTGATCTCATCTGAAACTTGTTGGAAGTCCTCTCCTGAATTAAAGATAGCAATATCATCTGCATATTGATAAATAGCAACATTTCCCTCCCCGCAACCCTGAATTGAATTTACATAAAGATTAAATAATAGGGGACTAAGAGGTGATCCTTGAGGAAGGCCCCAATTGGAGTTTTCTGGGCCTATGGTTCGTCCGGAGCTCGGATCTCTAAGGTGGATGTTTCTATTTGAGAACATTTTGTAGATGAGGCAGGCCATATCATAGGGGACATCGTAAGCAGAAAGTATTGGAATGAGTTTTGATAAATTAACATTGTCATAGGCAGCAGTAACGTCTAGGATTACCATGACTGCATGTTCCTTCAAGGATCTAGCACAATTAATTCTACAATAAATTGCTGCTAGATTCTCCATTATCCCTCTACCCTTTCTAAAACCTGATTGTCCTGGGTCGATGATACCGAGGCTTTCAAAATGCCAATCAAGTCTATTTTTGATCATTGTTTCGAGTAGTTTGCGCGGACAGGAGGTCAAAGAGATTGGTCTCCAACCATTTGTAGAAGAGAGATCTTTACCTTTTTTTGGGATTGGACATATCAAAGTATCATTCCACTCCCTAGGTGGCCTGGCTTCGTTTTCATTCAGCAGTTTGTTCATGATATTCAATAGCTGAATTAAGGCTGAATGTGAAAGATGGGTCAACATAGAATTAGATATGCTATCAAGACCCGGACAGGAGTCCTTTTTTTGGGATAGAGCAAGTTTCATTTCATTGAGACTGAATGGCTCACTCCTTATTATATTGAAATCAGTTGCCCTAGGGGCTTCATGGGGGGGCATGGGGGACGCTAAGGAAGCTAATAACTCTGCGCCAATGTTGCAATTCAAGGTGTGCGGACTGTTCATAGGCTCGAGCGCCCCTGATAACCTTTTTATGGACTTCCAGACTTGAGTTATAGGTGTAGATGGAGATATAGATTCACAGAATTTTTGAAAACCTTTTCTTCTTTTTTCTTTAAGAATTTTTCGGGTTTGTGCTCTGACCTTTTTCAATTCTATATAGTTATCCGTGCTACTAACTAGCTTAAAGTCTGAGAAGGCTCTTCTCCTGCTCTTGATGAGTTCTGAGCACTCATCATCCCACCAGTGATGTTGAGGTTTGGGAGTCCTAAAGGGCTTCTTTTTGGGAATACTATCATTAGCCGCCTCCACTATGGTGTCAATAATCTCTCCATAGGAGAGTGAATCCTCTATTGAAACACTACTTTCGATTTTATCATGGAATTTCACCCAGTCTGCTTTCCTAAAATTATATTTCAGGTGCGCCAAGTCAACGCCAACATTTTGAGGGATTGACCTTGTCAGAGAACATATCAAGGGCAGATGATCACTAAAGCCAGGGTCATCTAAGACCTGAAAATTGAAATTGAGAGACCTGTTAGCTGAAACTATTGCCAAATCTGGGACGCTTTTTGAAAAATGCGGAGGATTGATTCGAGTGGTAGCTCCATCATTCAAAACAACCAAATTATGGTAGTCAATAAAATCATGGACAATTTGTCCATTCCTATTTGTTCTTCCCGAACCCCAAAGGGGGTGGTGTGCATTAAAATCTCCCAGGAACAGAATAGGTTTGTTATACAGTCCTACTAGGTAATTCAAATAATTTAGAGATATGTTGATATCAGGAGGACAGTATATGCTGAATAGAATAAGATTCTGTAGTTCTATACCCATAACCTGAAGTCTTGTGTTGGGATTCATCTGTCTCAAATTTATAAGCTTATATGGAATATTTCGTTTAATTAAAATTGCTACTCCACCCCAACCATCATTCCTATCCAGGCGTTCCAGATTGAACCCTGCAACATACATTACATCTGAGTTTTTCAAAAGAGTCTCATTTAGGCATGCAATGTCTACTTGAACATCCCTGAGCATTGAGATTAAACTGTCTTTGTTTGCAAAGAATCCTCTCATATTCCAGTGCATGAAATTAAGGGCCGTCCTGTCCATTAAAAGGTGTATTTAAGCTCTATAATATGTACATGAGAATTTGTACTGGATTGTTCTAAAATGTACCTAAATTTGTAAATGCATTTATGTAAAATAAAACCAATAGGAATGAGTTTATACTTAACACAACAATTAGATATTATTTGTATATGGAAAATATATCGTTATATATATAGATATTATGAGAGTGTATTTCAACAGCTTGACTGATGTTGCTTTCAAGTATCACAGGAGTGTTTGACCAACTTAATAGGAGGAATGCCTGGAAGATGAACTTTTGTCGTCATCCATGGCCTCATCCAATAGTTGATCCTCCTTTGGGTCTGTTTGGTTCATTGACACCGAGCACAACTCGGTATCCTCAAAATAGGGAACTTGTTCTACAATTACTTTTTCATCGGAAACTCTTTGCACACTACCTTGCTCAGGAATTTGAACATTTTTTTGAGACCTGGCTTGATGGGGAGAATTAAATGGGATGGGGTTTGTTTTTGTTCTTGCTGGAGATGGAAACAGTAGGCTCTGGTGAGCTGACTTGTCATACCCTAGACCTTCTTGAGAAGGTGCTTTCCTTCTTTTTGTGCCAGCAACAACTCTTGAATAGCTTTGTTGTGGGGAAACTTGGCTAGGAAAATACTGTGGAGTTACTTGCGAGACCCCCACAGGTAGGGATGGAAAGTCTTGGGATCTTCTATTTGAATTTTGTCTTGGAGGTGGGGGGATGATTGGAGGGAATAATTTTGAAGCTTCGAAAAAGGAAATATTCTGAA